TTAATTCCCTTTAAAGGACAACCCTATCAAATCCATTGCTTTGTGGATTCAAACTTAACATACGTCGCAAGCTTGTATATACGATATCAATTATCATCATCGCGATGGAGAATAGATTTTTTATTTGCAAAATTACGATCCCTATAAAAAGAATGACCATCTTGAGAGCAGAACTGGTGGCAATGATGATCGGTATTAGGATGGTAAATTATGTCCAGAAGCAAATGGACATAGAAGAAGCAAGATTTTTCATATGGACAGATAGTCAAACAGTAATTTACTGACTCTTAGAAGGCAACTACAAACTACAGTCTGTAAATAAAGATAACAGTGCCCAATTTCTGATGTGTAGCAACAGGAGGTCTTTCCTCAGACGAATAACAAGAAATAATAAAAAGTAAGCTCATAAGATTGAAGAGATTGAAGAGGATGGAAATATTAATAAACAAACGAAGGAAACAAATCAACAATCATCAATAGAATTTGCATGAGGTACAATGATTCATGATCGAATTTACTCGATTTAGTTCATAATAATGAAAGGCAACGATAAATACGATTGCAGTAAAAGAGTGAGACCAAATGGCCCAATATCGAGTCAGGAAGTTCATTACGCAGAACAAGTGTATGGCAAGCCCAAGATGAAGGTATACTATCAAAGGATTTAAACAAATTTGGCTTGATAGGAGAGAAAACGATTTATGGGTAACGAAAGGATGATTGGATAGAAATCTTATCTTTCTACCGAAAACCTATCTGAATTTACTATATGCTTCAAACGGTACGGTGCTAAATAAAATGATGAAATGACCGAACCTTACTGGATCCCCAAATTCTTTCAGACGGTAGAAAAGGCAATTAGCAAGGGATGTTTGCAATGAAGACGAATGAAAAAGCAACTCTGCTCTACTTGATATAAGTAAATATTCAATACGATATAAACTAAGCGAAATGCTCCATTTATTCATATAGGAATAGACCTCACAGATTCTGTGTAAAGCAAGAAACCAAGATAATGAAACAAGGGACAACGCTATTTACATGTACAGTGATAAGTGTCGCCAAAAAGTTCATATGCCCAGCAAAAGAATTAATGAAATAAAGGAGAAAAGAGTTGGAGAAGGAAGAAAATATTCCACAACAATGATAGTAGAATACCTTATAAGTGAGAGGTATAATGTAGCTTTTATTATGAGAGGATTAAAAACCATAAATCTTCCCGCTCAAATTAATATAAACTCCCAAAAGCTCATTTTTGGGCATTTTTAAACTTTTATTAGGTAAAGGAGTGGGGAGCGACGGGTAAACTGGGCATTTATATTTTTACGTTTGGTTTTTGATTACTATATTGTTTTCTTTGTAGTAGGACGCTTTGATTGCGTCGTCACTAATAAAAATTTAATTACTCAAGTTTGAGGGTTCGCAACGAGATAAGTAAAAAGAAAACGCTGGCCGCAGAATTTATAATATTGTTGAGAAATAAAAATCCCTCGTGGCAAGAAAATTATTAAATCTATACAGAAAAATACAGTGGAGCGGATTCCCGATGGAATTTTGTAAAGGTAGATATTGGAAGTGGAATCGACGTGCTCCCAACGAAAATTCGTAGTGCTAAGAAATTGTTTCTATAAGAGCGATTCATTTGGAGAAGGTTTATTTGCAGAAAATTTCCTATTGGTGTTACGGAAATTAATGGCCATACGAGGCAAAATGAGAACGATATTATCCGATAATGTCCGATAAAGCGAAGAATTTTATTTTATCAAGGAACAAAATCAGGAAAATTTAATTGAATATTGTCGAAGAATACATCGAATGGAACTTCGATCTATTTGGAAATTGTGAAATATACCCCATAGGCGGGGATGTATATGAACAACTGAACTGAAACTGAAAACATTGGAAAACATATAGTGGACGATAGGAATTTTCGAATTTCGAAAATTTATGGAATAGGAGCGATTGTGAATGAATGACCACTCTATCATTGTGCAATAAATACTACGGCAGAAAGACTTATCGACACGAAATGTGCGCAGAGACGAGCTACTGCGGAAATGATCAACCGACACAAAATTTGGATTATTTCTGGAAACTATTGCAAAAGCGATATTTGCAAAGCTAGATTGATGTAATAAGCATGCACGAACGAAATCGATGTCGTTTCATCAAGAAATGGGAGTCATCATAATCAAAACAATCCCCAAAGCTTAGTGGAGGTTGGGAAAAGTTGTTGAATCAGAAATTCCGATAGGAAACTATAATCAGTAACTGCTACTATTGCAACTAGCCAATAAAAGGCTCATTAATAGGTCAATAAATTTAATAGTCACACTAGAAGTACCACAACGACGATTACTGAGGATCAACAAGAAGGGCTTAAGGTAAACAGACTCGATGGAATATTCAAGCCCCTAAGTGTGTTCAAAAAATGAGCAGGTAAACACGGGGCCATTAGAGCAAAAATAGTGCCAGATTAATGACCGCGGAAATTCTCAACGATCGCTCTTCATAAAGGGAATAGAGGGCGATAGGTGAACTGGGCAATTTTTTTATGTTCTGTTTTACGTACAATATATTTTATTTTACATATATCTTACTTTTCTTTATACGGTAACACGATAGTGGTTTCGTTTTGCTTTTTTTTATATATATTTACATCGTTATTATCAAAGATTTAAAGGTTTAATTACAACGAATACACGATTGATTACAATACTTTTTTTATCGGGAAAGGGTAGGGAAGTCGAATATATTTAAATCTATGTAAGATCCTCAAGACCCTTTTTACACCCCTCACCAGTTTTGGTTTGTTTGTCTAATAAGGTCAATGGATTCATTGTCTAGCCACAGCAGTGATATTTCCTGACAAATTTCGCAAGGCCATTTTTATTTCGAAAATAATTATTAGAAACTAGGTATCTAGTTAGTCTGGTTTGGAATCACTCAGAAATCGTTAGAATACCAAGAAAAAGTAGCTGTTCAGTACTTCTCTAATTTCGCATGATAGAGTACTTTACAAAAAAAGTGTTTGTTACATTGGACATCTTTTTATGGTTTATAATTTATGGTTTTTTAAATTCCACTGTTCTTGATAAATTTGTCTGAAAATATGAATTTAATTAATATGATTTTAGC